GCCCACCGTGGATGAATACTGGTAGGGCCGGCCAGGGACTCAGACCACCTCACTCCTCCACTTCAGGGAGCCCGCCCACCAGCTACCCTCTCTTGCAGCCACAGACTCCATGAGCTGATCACAGCAGGCTGCCCAAGGCAGCCCCGCCCAGGCCTCAGAATCCTCAACGCAGCCCTCCAGCCACGTACCCAACGGGACAGAGGTGGCGTTAAGAGATGAACTTCTTTTGCCATCCTGGCACATTCTAAGGAGGGAATTTTGGGGAAGACCTTTGGGAAGGGCAAGACTGTCCTGAGCCTGGTCCTGGATAAGACAGACTGATGTGCATTTTAGATTTTCCATCTTTGAGGGAGAAAAAGGGAAAAAGGTCAAGGGTGGGGCGAGGGGAGTGACTCGGAGAAGAGGTATGTGTCTGCAAGGGGCACGGACCCATTCTTCCACCAAGATCAGGGGCAAAAGCAATCTCTGAAAAGCCCTTGCCTTGCTGGGACTGACGGGTTACACCCGAGCACAGAGCTGGCATCAGCAGAGGGACTGGATCCCGGGAGGAAGGACAAAGTCCGCAAGGGCGCCCAGTGCAGCCTCTCACTCCTGAGCCTGGTTCTGCAGCCATAAGCAAGGACTCCGCTCGGTGGTCTCCTGTGCAGCCCGAGGAAGGGGCTGGTCCAGGGGTCTGGGCCACGTCACACCAAGTCCCCATGTCATCACTCTTCCCCCACACTGGCAAGCTCGCCCTCCTGGTGCCTTCAGCCAAAGACCCCAAGCCTTCCCCAGGTGCCCCTCTCCCTCGCTTCCCACCCGTCACTCAGTCGCCCCCCCTTTGTTTTCTTAGAACGCATGATGCACCCGCTGTTGACACTCTCCTCCCTGACATCTGTCTCCCCTCCTCAACTATGAATTCTTCCAAGGCATTGGCCTTGCCCAGGCACCTGCAGATGGCACCCCAGCACCCACCAGCATGGCCAGTGAGCCGAGGCAGGCCGTGGAGGCGCCACTTGCTTAAATGCCACCACCACGACCCCGAGGAAAGCCTTTTTACCCTTTTAATTTATTGTTTAGTTTGAACACGCAGCAAGGGTTAGAGTGAGGGCCGCGTGACTTCTCCAAGAGGGGCAAACGCCAGGCGACTCGGGTGGCGGGGACCTCACTGATACTAGGGACCGATGCAAAAGGAGAGTCGGAAAATTGGAACGAACAGTTTCTGATTGCAGTGTTCTCTCTTCCCATGCGGCACGGGAAGCACAGACTGGCTGTGTCAGCACCTCTGTTTTACAGATGTGCCAAGCGGGGTGCAGAGAAGGAAACGAGGAAGCTGAACCCCGTGCGTACCCCGAGGGAAAGAGACCCTTGGGCCCGACAACTTGCCAAGCAGTATTTGGAAAAAAGAAAAGGAGTCTACTGCAACACAAGTATTGTGGGAAAATGAGATAGAAAGCAATCAAACAGAGAAAGGAGGAACTGGCTCTTTCGTTTCCTTATGAACACAGACTTCTAGGGGAAAAAAACACAGCCTCCTAAGGCAAATAGGACAGTGGAGTGAAAGCCACTGGAGCCCCTGATGTCCCTGTCACCAGTGATGGCTGCCACCTTCTGAGACTACCACGGCCCTTTCTCAGAAGGCGATATCTCTTCAGTCATTTACACCATAGTGTGAATTTGAGAATCAGAGAGAACCTGAGATCTCCAAGTTCGGTTGTTCCCCAAACCTTGCTGGACACCAGATAAACTCCAGGTGTCACCCCAGACCAAGTGAACCAGAATCTCTGGGGGGTGGGACCCGGAACTCCATGACCTAAAAAAAACTCTCCTATATAATTCTGACACGGCAGATCGCAGACCAGGGTTGGCAACCACCTCGGAACGGCAACCCCTCATGCGAGGGACGAGGAAACAGAAGGCCAGAGAAAGGGAATGATCTGCCAAAAGTTACAGAGTAAGCTGGTTAGTGTTGAGGGCCCAGTGTGGAAGCCAGGTTGCCCAATTCCGGGCCCACCTCGCGACCTTGTGCACCTCCCCCAGAGGGATGTACGTCTGAGGCCTCGTCTCTAACGGGATGGGGCCCTTCCCCACCGCGGGTAACCAGTTACCTCTGCAGGCCGATAAGCTTCCACTTCTGAAAATCCGTGATATGCAAAGGAGAGGAGACCCAGTGCTTCACCGGCTTGGCGAAATGGCTATGGCTGGGGACAAAGATGGACAGCGCTGTCACCAGCTTCCTCACTACGGCCTCATCCTCCCCTAGGACCACAAGTGTCCTCCCGCTGAGCAAGGAGTAGATGGCCGGGTGGGCAAAGGGGTACTGACGGATGAATTTTAAGGCGTTCTGGCCAGCCCTCTTTTTATGCCTCTCGGAAGAGGGGCCGGTGGGGTGAGCAGAAGAGGGAGTCCTGTCTGAGCTGGTGGAGGCTACACTGCTCATGTTGCTGGTAGTGTCCGAGTAGTTGTCCAGGCTGGTCTTACTGACATCCCGGCTCGCCAGCAGGCGGTTTGGATCCAGCTCATCAGCAGGGAAGCCTTCGGAACTGTTGTCTCGGGAAGAGCTGGCATTTTCCACGGCAAAGTCCACACGGAACCCCTGGTCCTTCTGCCTGTAGCGCTGCGGAGGGATGCTCACTACTCCGTCCTGCTCCGAGGGGGTGTGGGCTGGAGGGGAGAGGGGCACCCGCAGACTGTCACTCTCCTTCCCAATGCAGCAGGAGGAGTCTATTTGTGACGGGGGGGTTTCTAGGCTGCCCTCCTCTGCTTCACCCAGCTCCGGCGGGCTGACGCTTGCCTGGAAGTGGATGGCTCCCTCGCTATCATCTGCGTATGATTCTTCTTCGTTAATGGCACTTGGGTAGCTGGCCTTAAAATCATCAGGGATGAGGGCCTCCGAGGGGCAGGTGCTGAGGACTTCAATACTGTCCTCGCTGATGGTCCTGTGGCTGACCGCTTTGCTCCGGACCACCTGGGGGCTCAATGGCACCGTGAGGCTGGCCTGGCTGTCAGACTTAGGCAGCACAGCGGTGGACTTCTCCGTGCCCAGAACCTCGATGCTTTCGCCACTGCTGATGCTCCCTTTCATATCCATATCCAGGTAGTCCAAGTTTTCCTGGGGGTCAAAACTGCTCGATTCTGTCACCTCCGCTTCCCTGTACTCCTCATCTCCAAGTTCCTGCTCCATCTTGATCGGCACAGACTCCACACTGGACTTGTAGGAACCAACGCTAACTAACACTTGAGGAATCGGACATTCTTCCAGAGACCTAGAAGGCGGCCTGCCTGGAACGGGCCTAGGGGGTGCGCTCTCTTGTTTCTCTGCCACCCTGTCGTCGACCTCCACAAAATCTTCAAAGAGGAAGTTTGTTATATGCTGTTGTTTTAGAAGTGCTCTGTCAATCTGGCTGGTCAGGAGGTAGCACAGGTCTCCTCTGAACATGTGCTCTATGTGGCTGAGCTGAGCCAGGGTCTGGGTGAAATACTCAGTGTCACAGAGCTCTTCCAAGGTCTTCAACTTCTTGTCAAAACACTTGGTGGACTTTGCTTTGATGAGTTTCGGGGTATAAGCAGGTCTGCAGGTGTAAAGGTCTGTGTCAGCAGACTCATCAGGGTTAGAGGTAGTGGCTGCCTGGCTGGCCTGATCCTGGGTGTGCTCCGTCTCCCCAGAACACAAAGGAGACCCCTTCAACTTCCGATGAGGGTACGAGCGGATCTGCTTCAGCAGGTCTTGATGTTCAATGATGGACTTCTCTACACTAGCCAGTTCATTGGCTTTCTCAATTGCCTGAGATGAGTAAAAGCCTTTGTCATTGGCCTTCTTCTGGATCTCCGTTTCCGTGTGCAGCACTGTCCTGGTGTAATCCAAGTCTTTCAGTTTTTTTTCAAGTTCTCCCGCAAATGCCTTCCTGTTGCCTGTCTTCAAGCACTCGGAAGCTTTGGAAAATTCAGCTGAGAGCTCCTGAAACTGCTGCATGATTTTGTGCTGGTCCGCTGAGATATAAGCCATGCAAAAGGGCCTCACAAAGCCCCGGGCCTCCAGGTCGTACAGGGTAAGGTGGTGCACATACGCAAAGGCTCCCTCCTTGGAGTCTCCCAGCACCACCTTGGAGTCCTCCACAAAGTTCAGCTTGGGGTAGGCAGAACCAGGCGGATGGCCCACAAAGGAGGCCTGGTAATCCACAGACATGATCCGCAAGGAGAAGTAATTGAGATCGAAAGTACCAAAAACTTTGGTGTCATTGGGGATGGTCAACAAGGGTTGGGGTCCCACCTGCTCGGAGAACTCGGAAATAAGGATGAAGTCCCGAGAGAACTTGGCCCCGGACAGTTTGGACCATGGGTTGGCTCCCTGGCTGGCGAAGGGGAAGAGCGGCACCGAGTACTCCTCGGGCAAGGCGGGCTCATTGTAAGGCTCCTCCTCGTACTCCTCCTCTTTGGTGAAGGCCACCACGTCAGGGGCGCTGATCATATTTCCAGATATATGGAGAGAACATTGAGAGGAAGTGAGAAAGAATGAGGGGGTAATCAACGCAGGGAAGCAAGGCCTCTGGAAGAGGAAGCAAAGTCCCTGCGGTCTTCTTTGCGCCCTCAGGGGTACTAGGCTGCCCCTCACACTCTCGAAGACTCGAACTCCCACAGTCCCCTCAGAGCTATAGCTCCTCCAGAGCCCTCAGAAGCCCATGGACTCCGCAGGTCCAGAAGACCCGGCAGGCCGGTTGTCCTCCTCTTCCTCCTCCTCCTCCTCCTCCTCCTCCTCGGGCGAGAGCGTCCGGCGCAGGACACCTGCAGCGAGGTCACCGGCACTCCCCCGAACCCACCGCGACAGCAACAGCCAAGCCCTGAACCGGTGCCTAACGCGGGGCTACGGGCCGCCGCAGGGGCCAGTCAAGCGTTGCCGCCCCCACGGCCCGAGGACAGAAACCGTCGCGGCTCCTCGGACGCCACAACCCGTAGCCAGCTACCGCGGCGCCGCCATCTTGGTGTCACATGACTCTTGGTGTCTGCGCCGCGTGACCCGGAAGCGTCCGCGTAGACTTCCGAGCGGGACAGAAAAATTGTGAGCTAGCGACAGGTTTGGGCAGAACTGTCCAGCGGCCTCTGCCAAGGACGAACCGACTTACCAACCACTGTCGGGAAGCGAGGGAAGTGGGGCGGAGGAGCGGAAATGTGCTAGGGGTCCAGGAGCGCGGGGCGGTCTGGGAGTTGTAGTTCGCGGTCGTGTGGCGCTCGGGCGGGGCGGATGTAGCCCGAGAAGGCGGGCGGAAGCGGGACGCCTGCGGTGCGGGATTCCCGGCGGAGGCAGCGAGTGCAAAGCCCGGCGGGCTGAGGGGAGGTGACGGGCCGCAGAAGGTGGCGCTGGCGGCTCCCGGAGGCCCCAGTTCCCTTAGGACGGGGGCCAGGTGGACCTCACCTCTGGCTTCTCCAGCATGCGTGGGCACCCGGGGGGCGGCTGCGGGCGCGGGGCCTAGGGATGATCTTCCCGGTCGCCCGCTGCGCGCTCCGCTGGCTGAAACGGCCGGGAGCCCGCACCTTGTCCCGCGCTGCCATGGAGGTGGCCTTCCGAGGCGTGCGGAAAATTCTCTGTGTGGCCGAGAAAAACGACGCGGCCAAGGGGATCGCCGACCTGCTGTCCAACGGTCGCATGAGGCGGGTAAGGAGGCGTATTTCCGATCAGCTGTGCGGGTGAGGGAGCTGTCCCGATCCCCCAGCGGGACGGCGAGGCGCGCGCTGGGAATACACACGGAGGCCACTTCTCTCGCTTCTGGGTCATTGCATTGGCTTCCTGTCTTTTCCGAAAGATAGGCATGCAAAAGTATAGTGAGACGTTTCACCCGTGTTCTTGAAAACCTTGGCTCCTCCTCGTCCACAGCAGCGGTTCGCAAACTTGTCTGATGATCGGAACCAGCTGGGGCACCGGCTATTCTGTGGGTCTGGGGTGAGATCAGAGAAGTCTTTATCTTAACATTAGTCCCTGTGATTCGAAAACTCATTTGTTGGGAACCACTGACCAAAGTCCTTTGAGTTGGTAGTCAGGCTCTGTCCGAGCATTCCCAGCTAACAAGCTCTCCCCATCTCTGTCGCATCCCCCGCGTTCTGCAGCTGCACTGACTTTGCAGTCTGTGAACGCATATTGATGGGGCAGTACTGTCTAGGGTTTGGGATTAGAGCGAACATCAGCCCTATTCCTACTGGTACAAACTCCAAGAAACAGGCAAGTAAGGGATGAGAATGTGTCCTAGACACACTGGAGGTGCAAAGGAAGGGGAAGGTAAAAGATTTTGTATAAGAGTTGGCACAGAGGCGGCAAGAACTGTTCAGGAAAATCTGTCAAATTGAAGTGGATCGTGAAATGGTTTTCTGGAGGCCATTTCTAAGAGTATGGGGAAGAAGTTCCCTGCCCTTTTTTCTTTAAAGATTCCCAAGGTCCTTAGACCTCCATTTCTAGCTCCTGGATAGTGGGAGCAAGAGCTGATGTGTTGTAGAGTGCAGGCCTCTGACCCCTCACATGGAAAACTCCAGTAGCTTTCTCCCTAGCCTTTCACTCTTGAAATTCTCCATTGCCAAAGTGACTTTATAAAACACAGATATGACCCCAGTAATCCCCCACTTAAAACCTACATTGTTGGGGCGCCTGGGTGGCTCAGTCGTTAAGCGTCTGCCTTCGGCTCAGGTCATGATCTCAGGGTCCTGGGATCGAGCCCCGCATCGGGCTCCCTGCTCC